CCTCCCGTTTCCCGAGATTGCTCTATTAACACCACCCGTGGCTCCCCGTTCGCCTGCAATAGCAACTGTCCCAGGAGTAACAGGATGGGACGTACAAGGGAGTAAAACGCCCTGGCAAAAAGCAGCATGACGAGGGATGGTGACCACCTCCGAACCGGTGTTTAGCAGAATGGCCTTGAGGCGGCCACGGTAATTCCCGTCAATGACCCCGCCCAAGAGCTGGATGCCATAGCGATGAGCAAGACCCGAGCGCTCTTTCAAGAGGCACCAAGTCCCTTGAGGGAAGTGGCAAGCGACTGCAGTGTCAACGGTTGTGCGCTCACCGGGGCGAAGACGAAGCTCCTTGGGCGCGAAAAAGTCGTATGCCGCATCCCCCGAAAAATGTTTCTTGGGGAGTGGTGGTAGACAACCCTCCACTGGAAACCGCTGAACCACGAGACTGTCTCCCTGCAGATGGGTAGGCTGACAGGCATCCTGGACTGGAAGGCACTTGACCTGGCCACCATTGGCCTTCTGAATGAGGGTGCGCTCGGTGCAGTCGACCAACAACTGATTAGCTTCAAGAAAAGTGAAGCCCATGATGAGTGGAGGGCCCTTGCCATCCAAAACATACGCCTTCATTGGCATATTTGCACCTTGGACCGTCACCGGAAGGGTGACAGCCCCAATCATGGGTTCCTCTTCACCATTACCATACCGGACTTGATGTTGGCATGGCTCCACACGGCCCCACAATCCGAGCTTTTTCACCAATGTGCGTTGCACGAAACACGAAGTCGCACCCGTGTCCACTAAGGCCATAATCTCGGTCCCCTCGATATTGACACGGACATGTAAGGACTTTTTTGGGTTCTTGTGCACAGCGCGGCACACCTCAGGGACAGCGAAAGTTTGACAACAGTGTTCACCTTGAGCTAAGCCATCATCCATTGGAGATGCTTCGCAGTCAAAAAAGGTGTCTTGCTGGTCCGGCGGCGCCCAAAAATCACCCTCACCATCATCGAAAGTCCAATTGTCCTCAAGGCGCTGGACGGCATGCGGCTGGCATGAGGCTCCCCAGTCCTCCATTGAGGAGCCCTCGCCAAATTCGTCACTGTAATCGACCTCATGATCACGCAACCCACGCTCTTGCCACCGACGACCGCGCGAAAGGTAAGACTCAGCTTCCCGGCGAAGACTGGCGGAAGTACTGACAAGCTTTTTCCATGCAGTCATAAGGCTGCGAGGGCCGTCAATGTTCTTCAACTGGATAGTATCGCTGCGTAAGACAGGACGCCGGGTGCGGCCATCACGCTGTCAAAAACCGTAATTCTCCGCAAGATTGTCCTTGACCATGTCAAGCGCCCAAGGGTCTGAGGACTGGCGGATGTGGTTATCGACTTCCATGGGGTCAAAGAGCACTGTCTTATCATTTGCACAATGCGACCAATATCGGATCCCACGGATTGCCTCTAATAAATCGGCCAACGTAGCGTCATGTTTCACATGGCTGAGCTGAATCCGCAACTCCCGAGGAAGTTTACGAAACAATTCTGCAGCCTTCACTCGATCAGTCACATCATCACATGTCTCCGCATAAAGACAATAACGGTCCATAAATTCCATCCATGGCTCGTGGGGCTTGCGCGACATGCGCGCTAAATGGTCCTGCTGTGACAACGCATTGCGGGGAAGGAGAGCACGGACCTGCTTAACCAACTCCTCCCAACGGGTTTTCTCTGTAACCCCTTCTCCCCTCGTATCACGAAGTGCCGTGGCTAAATGGGCTATCCTCCGGTGTGGCATCGAGCCCGGCCGGAATTGTTTCAGCAACGCCCGTACGCGATCGCTGAACTTCTCTCCTTTGGCCCCCCAAACTGCGGCATCAAAGACCCACGTGGCAGTTTCCTGTGTGATTGTAGTCAGGAATTCCCGGCCCCCGTCCGTGGCTGGGCCGGGGTTCCGTTCCACGCCACCAATGAGCAATAATTGCTCAACGATTGGTCTTTGGTCCCAACGGGCTCCAGTACGGGTCACACCGTCAATTTTTTTATAAGAATTGCCTTTGTCCAGTACTTTATGACTCCTAGTAGTCACACCACGGTGAGTATCGTCCTTTAATTCCATTCGCCCAGAACCCCCCTCTCCTTCCCTTGCCTTTGCACCAATCAAATCCCCACATTTTTCTTCCATTTTTGTATTTTTTGGGCCACACCCCCCTCCCCCACACCCCCCACCACTCTCCCCGTTGACAGGAAACGCGTCTGGTGACACCCGTTGCTGTAATGGACAGCGTGATCGATCGCGCCCCCCGCGCCCCTCCGGGCGCTGCCATTGGAAGGTGGCGCGGCTGGACAGAAGCCGCCCCCGCCTCCGACCCGGGTGACTAACCCCTGACCGACCCGCCTGTCCCCCGCATTACTCCCCGCACCCGCATTCCCCCACTTCCCGCACTCCTGGCCTCCGCCACCCCCCGCGGTCTCCCTCCCTGGTTCTCTCCACTCTGTCCGCTCGCCATCGGACCACGCGCGCGCACGCCCACCTGCCGACCACGTCGAGGAGCTGCCGCCGCCCGTCAGGGAGTTGCCGTGCCGCCGGTTGTCGGTGAGCCATTCCCACACCCGCCGCATGCAGCTCATCGCCGCGCCCGCGGAACTGCGAGGGCCTCGCCATTCCGTTGTGTTGCGTCGGCTTTTCCGGACCGTCGAGGTGCATGGGGATGGCCATTTCGCGGCGCCGGACCCCGTGCTCTCGTCGCCAACTGTCCATTCCGCGGGCATCGCCATGCCGCGCTGCTCCGACCCGGACGGCTCTCGAGGCATTTCCTCCCTCGCGCGCATCTCCGCTTGAACTGCAGTGTGCATCGCCGTGCTCGCCGAGCCGCGCGGGTCGCGCCATTCTGCCGGGCTCACCGAATCGCACAGCGGCCACCATGATGTCGCGCGGGTCCTCACACTTCCGTCGGCAACCGTCCCCTCCGCGGGTGTCGCCACGCCGCGTCGCTCCGGCCCCGCCGATTCCCGATGCCTCTCCGACCTAGCGCCCATCTCTGCGCTCATTTGCTGCCCGTCGGTCGAACCAAGGTCTCGCCATGGAGTTCCAATGGGTGCCAACAATCCGCTCGGGTGCACCCGTCTGATGCGCCGCTCAACACGCACCATCCGGTGCTTCCGATTGACTCCCCGCCGTTCCCTCCGCCGCACAGTCCGCGGCCTCCCCCGCTGCGCCATTCGCCGAGCCGCTACTCCAGGAAACAGAAGGGTCGCGGCCCCCATCCCAAGGGTAGTCGGGTTCGATGCATGGCCAGGCATCCATGCCATGGGATGTCCGGGTTGCTGGGTTGCCGATCCCCTCAACCTCCACTCCCCATTCCGCCTCCCAACCACAGCCGCTTCAACCGACCCACGTCTATCCATCGCTGTGGCCTCCATCCTACACTTCGCATCCACCAAGGCCTCCCACAGCACCACCACTCCGAGCACCGCCAAAACAATGGCGGCGCTCGGAGGTTGGCAAACAGGACGGCGACGCTTCCCGCGTTGCCATCGGCCACCTGGACCCCCAGGGTCCGTCCCCGGCTCCGAAACCATATCGGGTTGACCGGTCTCGCACACGCTCGCACGGTCGCTCCCAGGCACGGGAAGCAAAACCGTAACCGGATGCATTACAGGATGAGTGTATCGACTAAATATCAATCACTGCAATAATGTTCACTTTCCCATCTCCATTGTCCCCATGTACATTCACCATAACACCATGTCCACCGTATTTACTTCCCACCATCAAAACACACCATGTATTATATATTATACATTAACCGTTCGCTTGCTCTCACAATCATCATCAAGAATTCTTAGACACCGAGGCGAGGAAGCAACCATCAGCTCCCTATTTCTCCGATCATCACAACACCACATCATCGGGGCTGGCACCAAGACGGTTCTCCTGGGGATGGACGGCAGCCGGTGGCCCCTGCAGGCGAATAAACAGCACACTTTTGATTTTAGTGGCCATGAAGTTGTCATTGTGAAACGTGCCTCCTGACAGCACGAGCGCAGCCCAAGCCGGTGCCCACCCTGTCAGTTCCCCGTTCCGCCGCAATTGGTGAACGGAAGCTTCAAAGTTTCGGCTGCAGTTTCGGCTGCAGGTTTGGCTTGTTACATAACCATGAGAATCGCCCCATGTGTCAGCATGACTGGCCAGCACGTCACTGCCACCAGCGAATATGCGGCATCCAGCACGCATCGCGAACTTGGCGTGAATCCTCTGCCACCTTCCGCTTCCCCTGGTCCACCCTCCGCTGGCTATTTATGCCCCTCTCCGCTCCGAAAACGCGACAATAGCAGCGCTCCCCTCCAAGCGCACAGCACCTACCCCTGCTTCCGCTCTCACCACTGCCTCCGTTGACGGACTGCTCCTAACATGGCAAGGCTGGAACCTGCGGCTCTTGCGCTGGTGGTGAGTCTGGGCTAGGGGATCGGGTCCGGACTCTTGCCCATGTGCGTTCCCGGCCCCTACGTCAATGAGGAGGGGCTCGCTTCCCGTTAGGAGATGGTCTCATGCGCCCCATCCCGCAAAGGCTCGTCACCCTTGCGCGATGGCCACGCCCATGCGTGAGGAATTCCTACGCAATGCGCAGACCGCGCAGACTTGCAACGGCATGTTTCCCACCGCCTTAATCAGTGGGCGCCGTCGGCGCGAGAACGTGGAGTGGCCCAGCTGCCCTCAACTGTTTGTAGCGCGGCGCTCCACCAGCGTCTTCAGGCGATGAGAGGGCGGGATGCGTCCCCAGGATCGCGCCATGGCCAGCAGGCTCGAACGCATTTACTAACGTTTGGCTCCTCCCCACCCGCAGGCGTGCCTAATGGGCCTGGCGGTCGTCAGTGCAAGTAAGTTGCCCGGGCTATCGGGCCCCCTTGTCACTCGCTTCCCCGGCTCGCTGGCTGGAAGGGAACGAACTTGCCCAATGCCGCTTCGCCGATTTTTGGGCGCCCATCAGGCGCACGGCACTGTCACAGCCAATGGTAGGACCTGAAGGAGACCGACCTTGCGGTGTCTCGGACACAGATGTGGTGGACATTGACCTGCATTTCGGCCGCCGGGGCGGCCGCAAGCTGCTGCAGACCACGACAGGCTGCCTGACGGCCGACAACCACTGCCTGTTCACGGCCTACGGCATCAGCTTGGGGTTGGATGAGAAGGGCTTGACGTTTGGAGGCGTGAAGGCGCCCTCCACCTATTCCACCACCGGCTGGGCTACGCTGCTGCCCGGAGACAGCTTCGAGGTGTGTGTGGAGACCAACAACACGGACCCCGCGATCTGGCTCTACGCCAAGGACCTGTCCAGCGAGGGCCCTTTCTGCCCGCCCACAGAGGGCGACGACATGCCGGAAGGCTACGCGGACAGCGAGAAGTTCTGCCTGAACGGCCGGGAGCCGCACATCGTGATCAAGAACACGCGCCTGCCGACACCGTACAAGGACAACTTTACTGGCGTGGTGAGCACCACGTGCGCCGGACTGGGGTCTTGCTACGGCGAGGCCACGTTCTACGAGCTCAAACTGCCCAGCAAGTGGACCCTGCCGTGCCCAAGGGACTAGAGCTGGGGAGCGCACTCGGGCCGGGCGCGGGTGGCCGATACGGACTGCCGTGCCGTTGGATGAGCGCGAGCACCAGGAACCATCGAGGAAATAGTTCAGGGGGACGCTGGGCTTCCCCTGGAGAGGGTGCCCATGTACGTCGTGGGGACGTGGGAGTCTTGAGCAATGCTGACGGATGAATCGACATTCTTGTAATAATGAACGAGAACTGTAATGAACGAGGATTGAGTGATCGATGAAGGCCAGGTTGTGCTTGCAGCAGCGTCGCTGCACCCTCGTGCCACTGTTGACGAGGGACCATTGTTCACGCTGGCCACCGGAAACAGGCCCAGCTGGACAAAAATTGGCATTACAGCCAGTGCCAACAAACGCGCCATTGGCAACAAGCTTACCATTTCGTGAACTCTTCTCCGCCTGCACAGCATTCTAATGGTCCAGCGTCAGCTCAAACTCTTGTGAACACAATCAAGCGGTGTGAATTCGAGGGCGCCATCGGTGACATTATCGCGAATCGAGAAATACTGCTATCAAGGCAAGGTGGCTAGCCGTCAGCTGCTTTGGGTCCATACACCAGCAAATGAAACATTTTATTTTGATGCTCACCAAAGTACGTGTGTCCGTCTTAATACATGCACCCGTCAAACGGAAGACTAGGAAAAAAAAGGGCCAAATAGCACGTGTTCAAACGTGTACAAAGTTTACGGGTTCGTGTTATTTTTGTGTTCTTAGCGCGCAGAACTTTGATGCAATGTGTTTTATGTGTGTTCGCAAAAGTGTTATTTGGACCTTTTTTCCTAGTCTGTATCCGCCCCAATGCAAGCAACCCACAACGCTGCAATCTCCCAAAACTGGTAAAAAATGGGCCAAAATATACGGTCCAGAAATTCGTGTACCGTGTTGCGCGTGTCAAAATGGTGTAAAGTTTGTGTGACCGTCGTGTACCGATCGTGTACTAATCAACAAATACACATTTGCCGCTGGTACACTGTTGAAACCGTGTAAAACCGTGTGCTTTGTCGTGTTGTCCATGGTGGTAAGGTGGGCCACTTTCGTGTACTACACAGGGTTGAAAACTACACGGTTATAGCAATCGTGTAAAATCGTGCAAAGGAGCAGCCCTCACACCCAACGGTCCAGACGGCAGCTACCGACCCGTTTGCAATGGGTCACCGATCCTCCAGCTATGGCGACTAGCCGAGGGATAGACGGACTCCCCATCGCATTTGCAATCAAGGCTGCTGCCAGGAACCCAGGCCAGTCACAGAGCAGCGTGCAGCAGCAGCCTGTATTGCATCGTGCGGCTATGGCAAGGAATCCCATAGCACTTTTGTGTGAGAAGAAGCCATATGACCGAGAACTTGGTCCGGAAGTAGCCGGCGGAGGGCGGTAGGTGCGCAGCCCGAGGGGAAGACGAAGCTTGTGGTGTATTCACACCAAATTCGCGATGCGAGCTGGAAGCCCCATGTTTGCCGGTGGCGGTGGTGTGCTGGCCAGTCATGCAGTCACCGGGGGAGATTTTATGGTTAGCTAACACCAGTAGAAAACAGTCTATCTGCGATGCCAATTTTGACGCCATTTGACACAAGTTGATGCCATCGCCGCCGCTTTTATGCCATCGCAATCACTGTGACGGCATCATTTTCTGTCAAAATGGCATCGCAGTTGGCATCGCCAACATGCCGTTTTCTCCCAGTGTAACAAGTGCGTCCCTCATGTCACTGGAAAAGGAACTGCTGAAGCTGCAGCTGAACATTCGGAGCCCTTGTGCGCTGCGACAAGGAATGAATCTCAGCACGATCGGTGGTCGCCGAACGCTCCTTTAACCAGTTGTGGCAGAACCGCGAACCTATAGGGTGGGCTGCAGCTCGGGCTGCGCTCATGCTGTCAGGCGACGCATCTCACAATGACAGCTTCATGGCCGCTACTGATCGAAATGGGCCGGCTCGTTCGACCTGCAGGGGGCATCGGTTCACGTCGAACCCCAGCCAGGGAGAAACGCGCTGCTTCCAGCCCCGGTGGCGCGGTCGTGTGATGGTCGCGGCGCAGAGGTCGGTGTGGTTTGAACTGAACGCAAGTTTAAAAGATGTGGCGGGCATTCTTCGCTGCTGCAATCCGCTCCATTTTGTCGCCCTGCCATAACGACAGGAAATGAACTGCAGTGCCGTTCTGCCACGCTTTTGCTGCCTCCTGTACAGGAAGTCTAGAACACATGTGCTCTAGGACGGGGCTGCCTGATCTCAGGGACAAGGCGCGAATGCCAAGCGCTGTCAGCGTCCAGACCCCGATGTTGGACGCAATTTTGAAGGGTCAACTACTCGAATTCACTCTAGGGGACTGAGATAAATCTTCAGATCGTGCATCGCTTCGACTGCGTGTGGTACCCTCTACTCGAGTGGAGACTGAGGAGGCTGATTACTCAGCCGGCTTCTTGTTACTGCCGTTACCAGTCCTGCAGCTACGAATCTGTTGAATTCGGTTACACAAACTACAGTCGTTTATCCATCGACAACCATGGTGAGGGCTATGCTACTTATTGTGTCGCACAAGATGCTACCTATTTCCAGCCTCGTTAACCTGGGGTATATGTAAAATAAACATACGAGGCAATGGGCGAATTCCCGTATCATTTTTTCGCCATATCTATACTCCCCGAGCTTGGACGCCCCATCCTTCCAGCACTGGAAAATAATTACAATACACAACATGAGAACCGGGCTGGCTGCACGGGAATTCCCTTCGGTTGGAGGGAAGCTGAAGATGATGCAATATATTGAATGACTTGGATTGGGATCGATTTTGATTGATCATTCTGAAATTGTTACATGTACTGCGCACACCCAGCGCTGTATCCACCGCCGCAGCAGCTGCTAAGTTTCTGGCGTACTGTGCTAGGAAATCGCTGAAGCTTCCTCCCGAGTGCCTTTGTCCATCCGAATGGTGAGTAATTTCCTTTGCCCTGGTTTAAGGTGACCACTATGCGAGAGGTTGGTGCTTTGTTGCGGCAGGATTATAGAATAGGGACGCACGAAAGGTCACGACCAAGGTTCGCGACCGGCACATCATGCCAAATCCCGCGGAAGGACCAGTCCTTCCATGGCAGTTGCCATGACATAAATCTTCCTACACTGTACTTTAAGGGAAAGGGGTATTGAGAAACGGCGCGGGTGCTGCGCATTTGTGAATCTATTCGAGTCAGAATATTCACAGATCGTTTGGACTTTTGTGCGGAAAGCACCCCGGTTGTTGTCCTTTTCTCATGGACACGCTGTATCCTTGGGGACGGCCCACCGTCCACGCCAAAACGCACTCGTCATCGTCGAATCCGAGCAGGAGAGCACATGGCCAATCGAACGGGCTTCCGATGCTTCGAACACATTGTGGTATATTGCATTCACGGGCAACTGTCACTAGGAAAAAAAGGGCCAAATAACACGTTTTTCGAAACGCGTTCCATCTGAGTTCGTGTTGGAACGTGTTGTACTGCATGTAAACGTGTTGTCACCGTGTTCACAATTCTCAGCACCAAAGCGTAGCAACAAAACGTGTTCACTTGCATTGAATCATGTTCAGAACGTGTTCGGATGGAGTTTTAAGTTTCCAACATCCAAGCATCTTTAGGAAAACTCAACACAAAACTGAAATTCTAAACACATTGTTATTGTGTTATTTGGAATACACAGGGACGTGCGCAACACATTTAACGAACGTGTAGAACACCAAGAGCACGTGGGGAACACAAATCCAACACAAAACCGTAAACTTTGTACACGATTTATAATGTGCCCCTTGAAACATAGCAACACGCTTTGGAACACAAATTAACACGTTCTTGGACAACACATTTCAGCCTATTGCAATAAAACACATTTTGAACACATTCACTCAAGGGTGAACCACAGAAAAAGTGTGCAAAAGACAACACATTTTATCAGCGTGTTACACACTGAGAGCACAAAAATAACACAAACCCGTAAACTTTGTACACAAAAATAGTGTGTTCTTACTCCATGACCATATTTGCGCAACACGTGTTGCAGTTCCTGAACGTGTTCCCAATAACACTTTTTGGCAATTTTCAACACATTGTGAGCACATTTTGAGCACGTTTCGCCCGGTTATAACACATTTGAACACGTGTTATTTGGCCCTTTTTTTCCTAGTGTGTTATGCGATTCGTGACACCGACAGAGCCAAGTGCAAGTACCGTCCAAGGGGGCCACCCATTTACCTTGGATTGAACGGATTTTATTGCAAAACCTATTTTCACGTACTATTGACTGGCTTGCAATTGATTCACATTTTCCGGGATTCTTTTGGTTTGCTGCCTTATTGATCGATTGCTTGCCTGATTGCCTCACTGAGTGGAGTTGGATTTACTGATTTCCTGACTGTTCGACTTGAGACAACCACCATTTTTTGTGTTATCACGTGGTGGATTAATGGCACGACCAATTTCCTGTTTGCCTGCCTGATGGATTTCTGGGTTCTGGCTTGACCGTTTGGTGGATCGACTCGGCAGGGCAAAGCATGCAAAAATTTCATGATGGTGACGAAAATGCAAGAAAATGAAGGCAACAAAACAAAATGTTCTGATGTCTGCGTGTGCAACCACGGCGCGCCAGAGTCCGCACAGGACCATGGGCCTCTGGCGTACGGCTTTTCGCCCCCGGGGGACGTGCGCCGCGCGCGCGTCGGTCGTGCCCCTGGTCTCGCAGCTTCTTAGCCTCGCCGAGGTCGTCGGCGGAGGGGCGGGAATCTTCACAGGCGCTCCCAGCAATGGAATGGGCGGATTGCCCGTTCGGTCCCAGGGATTGATACCCGGAGCGGGGGGCAGAGCAGGTCGAGGGGCAAAGGAGAGGTGCGCGGGGTCGAGGCCGAAGCGCGGGGCGTTGCTGTTCCCGGTGTCTCAAAAGACCAACGCCTTTTAATCAAGTGATTGGGCTGTGCGGTGCGTTGTGGTGGCCGCTGTCGCGGTGATCGACCCCTCATGATCTGTGTTGCGCGGCAATCCTGTTGCAACTCCGTGGACTTCGTCTATTAGAACGACATAGAGGACAGAGCCCTTTCGCGTTGCGGGCGTTTGCGGACGTAAAAGCAGCCAATCGGTGTTTGGTCTCTGTTCCCGGTCTTTGGCAAAGTCTGTTGGACATGGTGGCAGTAGGCCATCTTGCGCGGTGGGGAAGGAAGTCGCGCAATGATGAAAAGCTTGCTCGGGAGGGGGGGTTGGCCATTTGTGTGATGCGCTGTCATGATGACAGATTTTTGTACCATTCGACTTGGTGAAAGGAGGGGATGATAATGGAAAAGAGAAGAAATGGACTGGGCTTCAGTGCATTCCCTTCCTGCTTAGAAAAGGATATCGACCTTTTGGCAGGGTATGCTAATGGAAAAGAGAAGAAATGGACTGGGCTTCAGTGCATTCTCTTCCTGCTTAGACAAGAATATCGACCTTTTGGCAGGGGATGCTAATGGAAAAGAGAAGAAATGGATTGGGCTTCAGTGCATTCTCTTCCTGATTAGAAAAGATTATCGACCTTTTGGCAGTGGAAAAGTGCTTTGCCTGTTGTTGGTAATTGAGAAATATGGGTTGTGGATCCCATTTTGGTGTTGTTTCATTATCCATGTGTTTAGGGAAGCCCCCCTTTACTATATGCAGTGCAGAGAGAAATATCAGTGACAGATGAAAAAGCCTTTAGGGAATGGAAGGGTGTAGCCCATCTGAAAGATTGGAATGAATGAAATCCTGTCTTGTCAAAAATCAAGAGAATGTAGCCCATGCACCAAGCTTAAATACGTCCGCAATGATCATACTCTCTTCTATTCTAACAGTTCCAGCTCCCTTCACCATGGCATTCCTGCCATCCTACTGTGCAGGAACAGGACAGCAATTGGCCCCAAAGGAACAGATCAGTGCGTGTTGTTCTGCTGCATACACTGTTGCATGAAGGAACGATGTGCGACTTCATTTTTATGTTCCTCTGTAAGGAAAGTGACAACTATCAACTCATAGGGTGCCCATTGCTGTAGGGGTTTTGCCAGTGGCCTGGACACCACCGACATATTGGACACAGAGCAAGGCCTTCTGACGATCGATGGGTGAGCATGCCTCTTACAATGCACGCACAACTGCGTATTATGGGCTGGTGGCTCTTTGAGAACAAAGTCAAATGAGAGGCCGTAGCTGTGAAGTGGGGCCTCATCCCACCAACCATTTAAGAGCATCAACTGCTGTCACATTGAAACCATGATCGATCTGATTGTTTGGAACAAAGTACAGCAAGCAGAAGACAGGCAAATAAATGATTGAACAATGTATGCAGCCATGATGTGTGAGTGCTGGATTCAGTCATCACAATGGCATGACGTCTGCGATTGCAAGAAACCAAGATTTGCAGCCACCTTCGACTGAACTGCAGGCTTAATTCTATTTGCAGATGTGGATATGCTGACTCTTTCAGTGGTACCTGACTGGTGGCTGTGCATTGGTTCAGGTACAGTCAACATGGATTCTCGGTGCAGGGGATTCAGATAGTGGGGGGCGTGCTTGCGTTTCAGGATCTATGGCTGCAGTGGCGTCCCGAGACGCCTGACAAAGTCACACCGGAGTCGCTGGCTCTCCTGCAACTGGTGCGGCCACTGCCAGAGCTGCTGGTGTTTGGTATGGGGCCTGAGATGAGGAGGCTGCCAGATGAGCTGGCCCTCTGGCTCAGAAGGCAGGAGGTCGACGTGGAGGCGATGGCCACGGTGAGTGGGCGCTGTTGTTATCAGGCTGCATGGAGCATCTAAAAAGAGTTGCCTTGCGTGTTGGCAGCACTCCAGGCCTGAGCACAGCCTCGGGTTTCATCCCCTGATCGGGGCTATTGCTCCCATCTGAACCACACGAAAGGTTGGCAAAGTAGAAGTTTGTACGACGGGTGGGTGTGTTGCTCACTGGCTGCAGCTGTGTACATGCGAGAAGTGATTCAAATTTCATGAGCATGGAAGCACTAATGCATATCCAGGTAAAGGGCACCAGAAGGCCCTTTCCTGTAGAACAATGGCATCAGTGAAGAGTACAGCTGCGCGTAAGAGTGCGAGAGAGGAGTGCCTCTATCGGGAAGTGTCAGCCGCCTCTTGCATCCAGCAAAAAGTTTCCACCACCCACTTAGCTGCCCTCAGCACTACCATGTGCGCCACGGGAGCAGGCATAGCCTGACAGAGGCATTCAGCAGTTTAGTGTTGCTTGATCGATCCGAGTTTGATTGCAACTTGCAGCCCATTGCCCTATGGCCTGGGGGAGACTCGACACAGCCTTGGCACAGCCACTGGATCGGCTGTTCAGTGATTCCAGCTGTGTTTGTATAACACCCTAACAGCGTTAGGGACTTCCCAATAAACAATCACCTTTGTAAGAATCAGACAGCAAAATGTCTCAGAAAGTTCACTTCTCCCTGTCTACCAAGACAGTGAACCCAGGACATGAAAGAGGCCAAGCTCCCTTTGCATGATTCGCAAATATTTTGGGGACCCAGAAGGATATCAAATTCCTAGTTTTGGCTGTTACTCTTGTGCTCCTGCTTTTACCAAGATCCAGCATCACCCAAAGTCTAGTACTATTCCACATGCCCATCAATTTGCGGTCCTCCCGGCTTCTAGCCAACAGCAACAATTTTCATCCAGCAAGCACTGATCTTCATATGATCCTCTGGCAATGACACTTCTGCCTTCAACTGCTGGCAAGCTGGGCAGGCAATAAGCCAGCGACCAAATTGCGATTCATCTGCTGCTTTCTGATCCTCAACTGCTACACATTTGTAAGCCTGCGTCTGAGTCCATCAGAGTATGACAAAACCCCATCAGTGTACACACGATCTGTTGTTGAGATTGCCACCAATGCACCCTATCAACATCAATGTCCTTTCCTGGTGCCATTCTGCAAATGGCAGCAGAGTCCATCGCCTTCTCTTGGTATGTTGGGGACTGGCCTGCTAAAGCTTGGCGTGTGCATGTGTGTGGCACAGCCCACTGCTGTGGCGACCTTCAACATCCTCAACCGTGAGGGCCGCAGAGTGGCTGCCGCACTGCTCCCCATAGAGCCCATGCGAGACCCCACATGAGCAGCATGTGCACAAGTCAAAAGATGCTTGGAGAGAGGCAACTGAGACTGCCAAGACTGTAGCAGATCAATCAATGGACATCCAGCAGCCCTTAAACCGGTCTTGCTGGTCCCATGGGCTCGAATGTGTTGATGCACGTGAATTGCAACAAGCCTTGTGGTCCTTGCTGATGGCCTTGATGGCCTTGGCGATAAATTGAGTCTGCCTCAGTTCACCCCTGCCCACAATCGCATCCGCTCCATCCCATCACCCACATGCGACCCCAAAACAGATGGCATTCTTCCCACTTTTCTTAGGCCAGCCGACCCACGAGTCCCCACTGCCACCCCCATTTCGCACAGCAGCAATCCTTCACACATACTCGTGGATCCCTCCCAGAGCCCATCCTGAACCACAATGGCCTCTGCGTCTCTCAAACAAGCCCTCACAATAGGCACCCTCAGACAAGGCCCAATAGACAAATGACAGCAGAGAGGACCGACTAACGGACAAAGCCCCTCAGAATCAGCCCCAGGAGCGGCGCTTATGACATCATGGGGTACTTCTGTACAGCCGCCTCGATGTGCGCGTCGAACAGCTCGCACCGTATGGGCATCTCCACCTCGTAGAATGGGTTCTTCAGCACGTAGTCTGTGTACAATTGATACACTCGCTGCAGGAACGCCGGCACGCTGGAGGCCCTGGGGTCCACCACCAGCACGAACTTGGTGCCCGTGACACTCTGAAAGCTGTGCAGGTTGAAGGTCTCGGCCTCCAGGAGCTCGATGCCGGTGCAGCTGGGCACTGGAGACAGCTGCACGGAGATGGCGTTGAGGGAGTGCCAGATGCTGGCCAGGCGCAGGGAGTCGTTGAGGTCCACGCGCGAGATAGGCGCGAAGTCCTTGTGGAAGATCAGGCCGCCGGACTTGTTGATGATGTACAGCGAGTAGATCAGGGCCATGGGAGAGAGGGGGGGCCAAGGAACGGGAGAGTCGCGAGGGCAAAGGGCGCTTGGGTTGCTGTTATTTTTGAGCACAAGGCTCTTGGGCGTCTTGGTGGCGGGGGTCGGGAGGTTGGGAGTGAGTCAGCTGGGGTGGAAAAATCAGCGGAGAAGTGGCGATGTGATTAGGAGAGGGGCGGTCGCCCCAGAGAGGGTGACTAAGTCTCACCGGCGTTACCCCGCCGTTAACCCAACGTTTCTGTCCGGTCGGGACAGTAATGCGCAGCCTACAAAGCGCCGGGCTCCTTCCCAACGCGCCCAGTGGCGCCGGTCGCCCTCCGGCCCTTCGCGCCGCTCGCCGGGCTCTCGGCCGATCCAGCGGCTGCCCCCACTCCGCACCAGGACGCCCTTGGGGCGCCCATCTCGGCGATGGCGTCCGACGGGTGGGTTTCCACCCTCGGGCAGCCGCTGATGGAGGATGACGGCGCGGGTTGCGTGGGGGGGGTCTGAGCCGGGCCCCCGCCGGCGCTGGCGGCGGGCACGCCCGCGCGCGGCCATGCCGCGCCAGGGGGCGGAGCCGCCGATCGAGATGCGGACGCCAAGGCGACGAAGACGGACACCAAGAGTCTCGTCATCGCCGTCGTGACGGTGATCGTCTCGATTCCAGCGCTGGGTGAGCGGGGATCGGGCCAGGAGGGGCCGTGGGGTTGGGCGTGGGAGGGGCGCGGTTGGTTGGATGGGCTATGCTTCGCGTGGCGGGGAAGGGGCCCCGCTGTTTGGAGGTAATTATGGGCAAGTGCGCCTTCAGAGCTTTGTGTGTTCAGAGCTTCTTGTCGCTCGCAGCTGTTTGATGCGCGTGAAATCGGCTGTGCCCGTGGCGTGGTTCGCCTTGGATTAGTTTTGGCCTCGCGTGGCGGACAAAAGGCCCTGCGTTTTGGAGATGATTAGGGGCAAGCGCTTTCAGAGCTTCGTTAGTTCAGAGCTGCTTGTCGGTCGCAGCTGTTGGCGGCGAGCGCGATCGGGACTCGCGGCGTCTGACCCCGGGCCTGATGTGGCCATGGCGGCGGGATTCGGGGTGGTGGGTTGCCGCGAGGGAGCCAGTTTTGGGCTGCAAGGTTCCCCGTCGCATGGTCGCGCATATGCTGGCAGACAGCACGAAAAGGATTCCCTGCCTGTGGCGGGGGTCGATGAAAGCGCATCTCGCGCCCCCCGTGCAGAGCGCGGACACAGGCAGGTTGAGGGAGGGCTGGCAACGTTCTTGACATTGTTGCCACTGACGGCAGCGGCGATGACTGGACCCGTTGCAGCAGCGTTCGTGGAGCACAGTTTATCGAGATTGCGCCGCTGATTGCCGTTCCCTGATAGGCATCTTGGGGACATCGGCCGCGACTGGGCGCGGCTTGGGCCGTTTTGTGGAATTGGACCCCGACGCGTGGATTGAACGCAGCTGCTCGGTTGGATCGGGAGTTGTGCGTGGGCGAGGAGTCGTGAGAGCGTCCAGGGCGGAAGCAGCGAGCCAGCTGGGCTGGCTCCCGTCAGCGTTCTAATTGCGACATTCCACGCCGAACAGTCTGCGGCGATGGGGACGCAGCGTGCACAGGGCTCCTGCACGGTGGCCCATGGTCGACAGTCCCCGCTCTGCCAAGTTCCTTGTTTACTTTTGCCCCTTCGAAAGGCAAAGTTGGGCCTTCACATCTTACCGCTTCGCACTGACGGTCTTGTTGTGTGGCGTGGCAGTGGGGTCCTGATGTTGGCCGCTCCTGTTGGCAGGTGAGTGGTGCCGATGTTACTGACATGATTGGCCTATGGAAGCACGTCGTGTCTCAAGCGAGGTTCTAAAGTTGCCAGGCTGTGTTCCATCGGTGTGTGCTCTGGATAAAATGTCAGAAAATGTGAAGGAGAACTGGCGTTGCACCCAGCAGGCGATATCGTGCCATCTCCTATCCATAATGTGGGGGATACTGCAAAAGTCGCCAGTGTGACTGGGTTTCAAACTGGAGAGAACCATGAACAAGCCTCATGGTTTGAGTGGCTTTAGAGTGAACAGTCCTCGTGCCAGCAAGGTGCCCACTGAACTGCCTGAAATAAGCCCTGTTCCTCTGATGGTTCTAAATGTCTGTTAGGGCTCAGCTCCACAGAGCCTGCAGGAGCACCTGTGTTTGTGGGGTGCGGTCGGTGTGCCTGTTTCTCTTGGGGCCAGATTGAGCATAGTCACTATGGTGCAGCAAGGCGAACGATAGCACCCAATGAAGGTTATGGAAAACAGGTCCAAGAAAATCACCTCTGGTTCCCAGCAGTTGGTTGCTGGCATGTTGAAAGGAATATTCAGCAGGCCACGTTCTAAGTATTCTTTATGTGCATGTGCACAATGTGACTGCAGGGCTGTTAGATCTGACAGCCTCCTCAGGAGCGAAGCACTTGTCTCATGCGCTTGGGTTTGCCATCACCCTTGCGGCATCGAGTAATCTGGCACAGTATGTGGCTTGGAAGGCATATGGGAGGAGGTGAGGACCAGGGTTCCTGCCAAGAGCCACCATGCATTTTTGAACATTGTGTACATGTTGTCTTGCTGCTAGCCAAGTGGCACTTATGGCAAGAAATGGGTGCCCAGGAAATGGTCTGCACAGGGTGGAAAGGCAGCAGGTTTTCGAATCCAGTGCATTGGTGGCATGTATATCACCAGCCCCTAGCTGCATCGGTCCGTTCAGGGCCAATAATGGGCCTGCCATTTGAAGGATGCATGTCCGTGTGCTGAAATGCATTTTCGAATGCAGACAGTTTGTTACATACTGGAGCACCCCCTCCTAACAGGAATGTGCTGTTTTTATTGGCTTGGCGGCCCTATAGTCACTGACAGCAGGATGTGGGTGTGTTTGTGTGCACAGGGGAAGTCATTGGAATCGATGGGGCCCAACATATCTTGTTGTTGCTTCGGTGCCACTGACTGCAGCTGACTACATACGCCACATATTGTTAGGTAAGTTCTTCCTCTCATGGATGGGTGAATAAGTGTGTGTTCCCAGGGCAGGTGTGCGTTCCTGTTGGCTTGTTGACATCTAGGGATCGTGTTTGTGACAGCAGTACTGCTGCCCCATTGCCCGTGGCATCCATGGCCCCACCAGTGTCTTCTTTGGTAGCAACCCACCACTGCCTGATTCTGCCTTGTCCCACACTTCTGCCTTGACCACTACGAATGGTTACTATACTTCATTTCTTTGAGTTCATTTGCCCATGTTGTACTTAGACACCCGCAGGGCGATGGAGGACAGTGCGAGCATTTGATGTGATCAGTCACAGTGCTTGCATACGCTGTCTGGTAATATGGCACGTATTCCCCTTGCTGAGACCATGTTCGATGCTGCAGATGCGGACTTGGCGATTGCGGACCACATGGGAATGTATCGACCGGGCTGCGAGAAAAGGGGATTTGCTGCTGCAGAATGCCTATCCATGGTCGGTCTCTTTGTCACAATCATCTGCACCTATGTGGGTTTCGCGTGCTTGATCATCGGTGAGTGCAAAACCCCTTTTCTCTGTCCTCCTTGCAGCAATGGATCTTTAATTGCAGTGTTGAGTTGCATTTGTTACACTTGCCAAACCAAAAGCTTTGAACTACTTTAGACCATTTGTATGTGGCTGATTGTGAACGTGTGTGAATTGTGATCGTCAACTATAGTCTGGCTATGCCTGGTGCAAGCAAAAGCCAACCTCAACTTTCGTTCCCTTCCGCTGAGCTGTTCATTGCTCCAATGGATTCTCCCCAGTTGGAAATCGCGTCTGGCACACAACAGAAGGGGGTTGACTGTAAATCTGCACAACGTTTTCAAACCCAAGAACACAGCAACGGTGAATTCAGTGCATGCTTTCAGCAGCCTGCTGCAATGGGGTTGCTGCATGAAGGTTGTAGCCTTCTGCTGCAACTATGTCTTCTAGTAGTTCGGTTTTGGGGGCAAGGATATCGAATATCGCGAAGTTTATGCATCATGATCTAACCAAAGTCTGCTTGCCAAGGAGTCGAAGCTTCCAGTTGGATGCCCACCAAAGCATTGCTATGGCGCGCAAGCGTCTGGCTCCCTGCTCAGTTGTGGGTTGCCCTTGCCAAACGTACAAGCAAATGATGTCACTCACTCCCTGCCTTCTTGTTGTTGGACGAAAAGGGAAGCCGATTGCCATTCCATATTCTGGATGTGAGTAAGATATGTAATTTCCACAAATCGAGCAAACCAAGCATTCAAGCACGAACGCAACGATGAATTATAAATAAGCGATGAAACTGGTGATGCACAGGGATCATCTGGGCTGCCGACCTGGGCACCAAGGTGAAGGCCACATGGCGGCGCCTCAGGCCTGCACGCGCACCTGCAAGCACGAGATACGAGCCCATTCCCATTGTGGTGGCTGACGAGCAGGCGCCCCCCCAACTGGCCAGGCGACTGGAGGAGCCCAGCAGCGGCTAAGGGAAGCGGGCGATGGGTCCAAGGGCACACACCCCTGGGTGCTGCCAACACAGACAGGCACCCCAGGAAGCGACGTTCCAAGTTGGGTACAGTTTCAACCATTTGGAGCCTTGTTGCTGATTGTGGGAGAGGCAGCACAGGGGTGGGTGTGCTTGGGTATCTTGTCGGTGGTGTTAAGACATTCTTGGGGGCCCAGGTGGGCGGTTGGCGCCAGAAGGTCTGGTGCTCGATGTGCGGCTGCCGCTTATGACGCCCTGGGGTAAAATCTTGGACCCTGGGGCTGAAACTGCGTGGCAGGTGTGCATTAGGCTGCCAGCACCCACTGGCGGACGGGGTGCAGCACTGTGGGTCGGTTTCTTTTCCTGCTTTTCAGTATTTAGACACATTCCAATTGCCCTAGACCGTGAGGCAATTTCCCAGTGCCGGCGGCTTCGTTTACGAAAGGACATTGTTTTTGTCACTTCCGTCCCACGGTTGGGTTGCGGTTTCATGCAAAGGTTGTGCATCTTGAAGGAAATGAACTGCTTGTGCATTATTGAAACCTGTTTTTACCCAACAGTCGCT